GTGAGAAATGGCCCCAAAATCAGCCCAACATCAGTGGGGAAACAGTGCCAAAAATGGGCAAAATCACCCCAAAATCAGCGGGGAAACGGTGCCAAAAATGGGCAAAATATCCCCAAAATCAGCGGGGAAACGGTGCCAAAAATGGACAAAATCACCCCAAAATCAGCGGGGAAACGGTGCCAAAACTGCCCAAAATATCCCCAAAATCAGCGGGGAAACGGTGCCAAAAATGGGCAAAATAGACCCAAAATCAGAGGGGAAACGGTGCCAAAAATGGGCAAAATATCCCCAAAATCAGCGGGGAAACGGTGCCAAAAATGGGCAAAATATCCCCAAAATCAGAGGGGAAACGGTGCCAAAAATGGGCAAAATCAGCCCAAAATCAGAGGGGAAACGGTGCCAAAAATGGGCAAAATCACCCCAAAATATTCCTGAAATATGGTGAGAAATGGCCCCAAAATCAGCCCAACATCAGTGGGGAAACAGTGCCAAAAATGGGCAAAATCACCCCAAAATCAGCGGGGAAACGGTGCCAAAACTGGGCAAACATGGGTCAAAATATTCCTGAAAAATAACCCAAAATATCCCCAAAATCAGAGGGGAAACGGTGCCAAAAATGGACAAAATCACCCCAAAATCAGCGGGGAAACGGTGCCAAAAATGGACAAAATCAGCCCAAAATCAGCAGGGAAACGGTGCCAAAAATGGCCAAAAATGGGTCAAACTATTCCTGAAAAATAACCCAAAATATCCCCAAAATCAGAGGGGAAACGGTGCCAAAAATGGGCAAAATCAGCCCAAAATCAGAGGGGAAACGGTGCCAAAAATGGACAAAATATCCCCAAAATCAGAGGGGAAACGGTGCCAAAAATGGGCAAAATCAGCCCAAAATCAGAGGGGAAACGGTGCCAAAAATGGGCAAAATCACCCCAAAATCAGAGGGGAAACGGTGCCAAAAATGGGCAAAATCAGCCCAAAATCAGCAGGGAAACGGTGCCAAAAATGGGCAAAAATGGGTCAAAATATTCCTGAAAAATAACCCAAAATATCCCCAAAATCAGAGGGGAAACGGTGCCAAAAATGGGCAAAATATCCCCAAAATCAGCGGGGAAACGGTGCCAAAAATGGACAAAATCACCCCAAAATATTCCTGAAATATGGTGAGAAATGGCCCCAAAATAACCCCAAAATTGCCCCAAAAAAATTCCCAAAATTATCCCAAAAAAATCCCCAAAATTATCCCCAAAAATTCCCAAAAAATTCCCAAAATTCCCACAAAATCAACCCAGAATAACCCAAAAATAATCCCCAAAATATTCCCAAAATATTCCCGAAATAACACAAAAATATTCCCAAAATATTCCCAAAATTATCACAAAAAATTCCAAAAAAATTCCCCAAAAATTCCCAAAATTCCCACAAAATAACCCAAAAATATTCCCAAAAATACCCAAAAAAATCCCCCAAATTATCCCAAAATTATCCCAAAATATTCCCAAAAAATTCCCAAAATTATCCCAAAATTATCCCCAAAATATTCCCAAAAAAATCCCAAAAAATCCCCCAAAAATTCCCAAAAAATCCCAAAATATTCCCCAAAAATTCCCAAAAAATTCCCTAAAATTCCCAAAATATCCCCCCAAAATTCCCAAAATATTCCCAAAATATCCCAAAAATATTCCCAAAATATTCCCAAAATTCCCTCCGGGGATCCAGGTGAATTTTGGGATAAATTTGGGAATTTTGGGGAATTTTGGGGCATTTTTTAATGGAAAAAATGAGATTTTGAAGGTAAAAAACGTCGATTTTTGACGGAATTTTTGGATTTTTGGGGGGAATTTTTGGATTTTTGGGGATTTTGGGGATCGGGGAATTTTGGGAATTTTGGGATTTGGGGAATTCGGGGAATTTGGGGAATTTTGGGGAATTTTGGGGAATTTTTTAATGGAAATAATGGGATTTTGAAGGTAAAAAACGTCGATTTTTGAGGGAATTTTTGGATTTTTTTGGGGAATTTTTGGATTTTGGGGATTTTGGGGATCGGGGAATTTTGGGAATTTTGGGATTTGGGGAATTTTGGGAATTTTGGGAATTTTGGGGAATTTTGGGGAATTTTGGGGCATTTTTTAATGGAAATAATGGGATTTTGAAGGTAAAAAAACGTCGATTTTTGACGGAATTTTTTTATTTTTTGACGGAATTTTTTGATTTTTGGGGGGAATTTTTGGATTTTGGGGATTTTGGGGATCGGGGAATTCGGGGAATTTTGGGAATTTTGGGAATTTGGGGAATTTTGGCCCCACCTGAGCCTCGTAGGTGAGCAGGGCGATGTGGGCGATGCTGTAGAGCGTCATGTAGACGGACAGACGGACCGAGCCCCCCGGGCTGATGCGGCCCCTGGGGGAGCGCGGAGTAACCTCTGAGTAACCTCTGAGTAACCCCTGAGTAACCCCTGAGTGACCCCTGCATAACCCCTGAGTAACCCCTGACCTCTGAGTAACCCCTGAGTAACCTCTGAGTAACCCCTGACCTCTGAGTAACCTCTGAGTAACCTCTGAGTAACCCCCGAGTAACCCCGAGTAACCCCTGAGTAACCCCTGACCTCTGAGTAACCCTTGAGTAACCCCTGAGTAACCTCTGAGTAACCCCTGAGTAACCTCTGACCTCTGAGTAACCTCTGAGTAACCCCTGAGTGACCTCTGAGTAACCTCTGACCTCTGAGTAACCTCTGAGTAACCCCTGAGTAACCCCTGAGTGACCCC